ATATATACACACACACATATATATATATATAGAGAGAGAGAGAGGAGGGGGGGGGGAATTAAATACAACTAACATAGGACTATATGAAAAAAAATTCTCATCGGCATTTGCATTTCCACCGACTCTTTTTTTTAATTTCGAAATTTCCGCGCCAATTTCTAAATGTTAAATTCACGCGCTGCCTATACAAGGGCTTGATTGATAATAAGTTTCATATGGTGTTGCCTGGAGGCAGGGTTGTATATATATATATATATATTTTTTTTTTTTTTCAAGAGTACATTACAGCAAAAAGTTTTCAATTTTTGCAATTTCTAAAATCTCGTATCGAGATCAACATCGATCGATCAGTCTTAATATGTGCTGAACGGTCAATCTGAAAAGAAAACTAATTAAGAACAAAAATTTTTCTTTTTTGTGAGGGAATTTCACGAAAAATGGGAGTTCCTCCGTCGACTGATTGAAAGAACTATTTCGAAGATAGAAGCATGAACGGAAAATATGCGTAAAGAAAGGAACGTGTTTGAGTATATATTTGTTGTTGTTCGTTTATATATACATATATATTTCATGTCGGTATTACATACATACATGATTTTATTTTACCATGTCGAATGAATTAATTTAAATTGAAGTAAATATATCCTCTTTGACATTTGTAACAGAAATAACAACTGTCAAAAAAGCGCTCACTTCAGTAGCGGTCTTTTATTGTGTTCAGTAAAATGACAAGGAACTGTGCCATCCAGCAGAAAAAAATTCCCGCGACTACTTAGCGAACCTGAGCGCTCTATTGTGCTTGATTCACCCATTGCCTCAAAAAAAAAACATTTTTGCCAACAATGCATTGCTTAAAAACAAATGCAATGGGCCCGGCATGGCCAGGTGGTTATGGCACTCGACTCGCAATCTGCGGCTCGCGGGTTCGAATCCCCATCACACCAAACATGCTCGCCCTTCAGCCGTGGGTACGTTATAATGTGACAATCAATCCCACTATTCGTTGGTAAAAGAGTAGCCCAAGAGTTGGCGGTGGGTGGTGATGACTAGTTGCCTTCCCTCTAGTCTTACACTGCTAAATTAGGGACGGTTAGCGCAAATAGCCCTCGTGTAGCTTTGCGCGAAGTTCAAAACGAACAAACAAACAAATGCAATGAAATTTTCCTCACTGAAATAACACATGGAATGACAAAAGACGGTTTAAACGGCCCACTAGACAATCATATTGAATATACGCTATGATCCAAGGGATTGGGTTGATTGCACATTTTAAATTTATTCATCACTATTTTTAGAAAAGTAACCGTTGATTTATTTCAACAGGCATCTGCTAGTAATACATATTCTGTACATTTTATTACAATTGATTCCAATAAAAATGTTTTCATGTTATTCTATTACAATATATGGTTTAATACTTTAACTTCAAAATGTTAGTAATGTCATGAAAAATATCTTATACGATACTCCGATAACGATCCACTTTTTGCGCGCATTTTATTTGTATACTAGCAGAGACCCTCAAAACATTTGCAGTCAGATTAGTAATTCTTTATAGACGGGAATTTTTGAATAATATAAAATAATTCTAATCGTGGTCACAAAACTCTATACGTATTAGGCCTAACGTTTTTAGCCGCGGCATAGCGGCTCATAGAACAGGCTCTGAGTTTGTCTTGTTTTTTGTTTTTCCAGTACAAACTTTTAGTTCAAAACTCCGTCATCACATGACCGATTTGAGATCTAACTTCAGTTTTGGACTCAGAAGGTCAAATCCTTTCTATCGATACATTTGACCAATCCCAAGGTCTCATAGATTAATTTACTCTAATCCTGCCTAAAATAATTTCAATTTTAGGGTAAGCTGGTAAAAATCTTGGTGAGTAATAAAATTGAATCGAGTTATACGCGCGCCCGACGCTTGATATTGCTGTCGCATAAAAATATAGCTAATAAGAAGGGGGAAAAAAAGGTCTCATAGGTTAATTTACTCTAATCCTGCGTAAAATAATTTCAAGTGCAGCGGCTGTTGAGGATTCCCCCTTGTTTGCTTTAGTTTATATAGGGCTAAACTTTACCTTACTTAATACTATCAATAAATACACTTGTAATGTTTTCTACGATTTAACGTTACACCTTTAAATGAAAATTTTGATAATTTGTTTGTTTGTGTGGAATTAAGCACAAAACTACACAATGGACCATCTGTGGTCTTCCCAACACGGGTATTGAAACCCGGATTTTTGCGTTGTAAGTCCGCAGACATAATGCTGTGCCACTAGGGGTGGGGCAAACTTTGATAAACTGTAGGTGTTCTATCTCCATGCATAGGTATGTCAATGACCGGCCTAATGTATATTTTATATATTTTGAGTGTAATGTCTGGTGAAGCTCCTTGATTATTACCTATCAGACACACAAAATATCTCGCTCTAAGTCAGATCCAATGTTTGACACTCCTAATATGTTTACTCCACGTTAGATGTGGTGACTTCGAGGAGTGTCCAATCTAGATATTGTTGGGGTTTTGTTCTGCTTTCTTTAGTTGATTTTGTGAATAATATTACCTGTGTTTTATGAGTGTTTATTTTGATCCTCCATTTCTTACAGAATTGTTCTATTTCGTTTATATTGGTTGTATAATGTATGATGCTATTATATGATTTTGGGCACTCTTCCAAATGGCCACATCGTCTGCGAACTGTGAAAAGTGAATGAAATTTGGGTCTTTTTAGAGACATTTTATTTATATACATGGTGAACAAGATAGGGCTAAGTACTCCTCCTTGTGGGACTACTGCCCCGGAAGTGAAGATAGCTTAGAAGGTGCCTTCCACGTTTACTCCGATGCTCTTATCCTCCAGGAAGTTTGATAACCAGCGAATAAATTCATTTGGAAGTCCCATTTTGGACAATGTATATCTGAGACCGTTGTTCCCAATTTTGTCGAATGCTTTTTCTAATTCGAAGAAACATCCGACCTTGCAGTGGTTCTTATTAAAGCCGTTTATTATTTCCTCTGTTAATCTAAGTAAGTGATTAATAGTTTGTCGGTAAAGCCGTTTCGAACTTCTGGTAGATTTGAAGTTAATTCTAGAAAAGTAAGTAATCCATTGTTTTGTATTTTTTTCCAGCAATTCTC